ACTGCAAGCCATGTTTCCTCCTAACACTTAGTAATGTAATAGGTGTTCTCTGGCCTATGATGCACCTCCGTAATATGACTAATGCCCCGGAGACTGCGCATTTACCTCAACTCCAGCCTACCCTTTCTCTTTTTGCAGTGGTCACTGTCATACCTCTCACAGTGACACAGTTACCACCACCACACCTTTCACATGGGACCAGGAGCTGAGACTCGTGCCCTGCAACCACCAATGAGTACTAACGCACTAGTCATAACTACTACATACCCTCACACCGAAACCCCCCACACCACACCCCCTCACACTGACACCATCACCACACCCCCTCACTGACACCATCACCACACCCTCCTCACACTGACACCATCACCACACCCCCTCACACTGACACCATCACCACACCCCCTCACACTGACACCATCACCACACCCCCTCACACTGACACCACCACCACAACATCCCTCACACTGACACCATCACCACAACATCCCTCACACTGACACCACCACCACAACACCCCTCACACTGACACCACCGCAACACCCCTCACACTGACACCATCACCACACAACTCACACCACACTCCTCACACTGACACCACCACCACACCACTCACACCCCACCCCTCACACTGACACCACCACCACACCCCTCACACTGACACCACCACCACCACACCCCTCACACTGACACCACCACCACACCCCTCACACTGACACCACCACCACACCCCCCACACTGACACCACCACCACACCCCTCACACTGACACCACCACCACACCCTCACACTGACACCACCACTACACCCCTCACACTGACACCATCACCGCATCCATCACACTTACACCACCACCACACCTCTTCACACTGACATCATCACCACATCCCCCACACTGACACCACCACACACCCCTCACACTGACACCATCACCACACCCCTCACACTGACACCACCACACACCCCTCACACTGACACCATCACCGCATCCATCACACTTACACCACCACCACACCTCTCACACTGACATTATCACCACATCCCTCACACTGACACCACCACCACACCCCTCACACTGACACCATTCACCAACACCCCTCACACTGACACCACCACTACACCCCTCACACTGACACCATCACCGCATCCATCACACTTACACCACCACCACACCTCTCACACTGACATCATCACCACATCCCTCACACTGACACCACCACCACACCCCTCACACTGACACCATCCACCACACCCCTCACACTGACACCACCACTACACCCCTCACACTGACACATCACCGCATCCATCACACTTACACCACCACCACACCTCTCACACTGACATTATCACCACATCCCTCACACTGACACCACCACCACCACCCCTCACAACTGACACCATCACCACACCCCTCACACTGACACCACCACTACACCCCCTCACACTGACACCATCACCGCATCCATCACACTTACACCACCACCACACCTCTCACACTGACATCACACATCCCTCACACTGACACCACCACCACACCACTCACACCACACCCCTCACACTGACACCACCACCCACACCCCTCACACTGACACACCACCACCACACCCCTCACACTGACACCACCACCACACCCCTCACACTGAAAACCCACCACCCCCACCCCTCACACTGACACCACCACCACACCCCTCACACTGACACCAACCACCACACCCCTCACACTGACACCACCACTACACCCCTCACACTGACACCATCACCGCATCCATCACACTTACACCACCACCACACCTCTCACACTGACATCATCACCACATCCCTCACACTGACGCTCTCATCACAAACACATCCATCACACACGGGACCAAGAGCTGAAACTTAGGGCAAAGATCATCACCACACCACTTTGGTCGCCACTACACCCCTCACACACACTCATTATCATCACACTCACAGTGATACTCACACCAGCACCACACTCCTCACACTTATCTTACCCTGACTCATGCAATACATCATTAGTGGATACATTACCTGTTCATGTTGAAACTATAGTGTTGAGATTATTAAGAGATCCTGCGTATATGTATGTGCTCAAGGATGTTGTTTCTCGTACTGTGTACACTGAGCCTGGGTGCACCCACATACGATAAAAGTTTCCCAGAGCGTCACTGCTGCCGGTTCAACGTACTTGGAGTACTTCACCCGGACGACGCAGTGAAAGTGTGTCAGATATACCCGCAGTGTGCAGCTACTCAGAGAGTTACGTGATAGATATACCTGCAGTGTGCTGAGTTTTATTAAATGGTGGGAATACTAAGTGAGCAGCTGTTTATTTTGTATAAGACTTACGTGATGGAAACTCCAGCAGTGTATGTGGTTATCATTATCTATGTGAGAGGTATAAGGTGAGAACACTTGCAGAGAGATGGAAAGAGGTGGTATAAATAATGACGCAATGGATAATAAAACACATATGCTATATGATGCATGGTAGGCAGGTTAAGCACCTCTTAGTCATACATGCCCAAACTGAGTTTAAACTTACTCAACACACCTAGCTTGACTCTTCAAATCAAGGTACTTCTTATACAGAGATCTCTTTCTTGCTTGATAAAGCCCACTGGAAGACGAAACGTTGACAGTAAATATCGCATTATACTGATTTTTTTCTCTCTCTATCCATTCTGTTAGAGAATTGCACAGTAGGAACTTCAAGGATTGTTAATGATCTTGAAGTGGTGGATTAATTTTTATATAACGTACTAAGTTGGGGAGATTGGAGA